TCCAAAGCAGATGAGGAGGGCCAAATAAAGGGATGGAGAATAGGGAGCAGAGGCATTCCGGTAACTCACCTTCAATTTGCTGATGATATTGTTATTTTCTGTGAAGAGAATGAGTTGAGCAAAGTGAAGAACCTTAAGATTTTAATAAGTACTTTTGAGAGGGTCTCCAACTTGAAGGTAAATTTTGATAAAAGTTGTGTGGCTGGAATAAACATGGAGAATAGGGAGTTTGCAATATTTCTTCTTGGCCTTTGACATACTTAGGGCTACCCTTAGGAGCCAACCCTAAAGAAAGTAGTTTCTGGGCCCCTWTTGTGGAGAAATTTGATAAGTGCTTGGCGGATTGGAAAAGAATTACATTTCAATAGGGGGTAGGCTGACTTTAATTAAGGCTGCACTTGCCAACCTTCCAACCTACTTCCTTTCAGTGTTCAGGATTCCTCCAAGGGAGGCTAAGAAACTGGAGAAGAGAATGAGGGACTTTCTATGGGAACCAGGAGAGGTGAAAAAGGATCACTTGATCAGATGGGAGATAGTTAACAAACCAAAGGAAGAAGGGGGTTTAGGGATAGGGAACATAGTGCTGAAGAATGTAGCCCTTCTAGGGAAGTGGCTATGGAGATGGCCCCGAGAGAGAGAGAGAGAGAGAGATTATGGCATGAGGTGGTGGCAAGCATTCATGGTTGTGTTAGAAATGGTTGGGATTCCGGGATATCTCGCCGAGCTACCCTTACTACACCTTGGAAGGCTATACATGGTATTCTCCCTCGCTTCCTCAAATTCATCAGGTATGATGCTTGTTCTRGTAATKCTATTMTGTTATGGGAGGATATTTGGGTGGGTACTCAACCCCTCAAAGATTGTTTCCCCTCGCTCTATTCCCTTTCCCTTCACAAACATGAGCCAATTGCAACTTTTCTCCCGAGCCCGTTAAACCCCTAATCTTTGAACTGGGACTTTGGGTTTCGTAGAGGGTTAAGGGATGGTGAGTCGAGTTGTGTTATTGAGCTAATTCATTTACTAGAATCTGTTTTCTTGGACCCCACTTCTTCCAAAAGGTACTTTTACTTGCTCTTCTTTTCTAAAATCTCTCATTTCTAACCCCATTTCCCAAGGATTTCCTGTCAAAGAAGTCTGGGCGCGACCTATTCCCTCAAAAATTGTTGTATTCTGTTGGGAAGTCTTCTATGGGAAAATCAATACTGTGGAAAACTTATAGAAAAAGAGACCCTCTCTTTGTCTTTCCCCAAATTGGTGTTCCTTGTGTAAGGCCGAGAATGAGGACTGTTTCCATTTGCTGATCTCTTGTTCCTTTGCTACAGCTACATGGAGGTGGAGCCTTTGTTTATTTGGAGGTAGATGGTCTATGCCTTCTGATTTAAGCTYGTTATTCAACCCATCTGTCTTTGTTTGGCACACTAGAAGAGGTAAGGTCATGTGGAAATGTGTCAGGGCAGCCACTCTGTGGACTCTTTGGGAGGAAAGGAATGCAAGGATTTTCTTAGAGAAGGAAAGAGGGTTAGATGAAATGAAGGATTGTATCCTAACAAGAGCAATCCATTGGCTGAAAACTGTGGATATTTTTGATGACTTCTCCTTTGATGACTTGTGGAGGAATTGGCTAGTAATAGCTAACACTTCAACAAAGAAGGATAGAATTCTGTCAGAATGGGTTCCGCCTTTGGAAGGTGTCATCAAGCTGAATTTTGATGGAAGCAGCCAAGGCAACCCCAGGTCTTCAGGTATAGGGGGTACCCTGAGAAATAAGGATAACAATATAATTTCCCTATTCTCAGGACCGGTGGAAGTGGGGGATTCCACAAGGGCAGAGATCCTTGCTGCAGTACAAGGAATTCAGATCGCCAACCAGCTTGGGGTGGAACATCTAGTTGAAGGGGATTCTCAGGTGGTAACAAGGTGGCTCCTAAACTTGGATACTGCCATTTGGTGCTACAAAGATCTCATCAAAAAGGTAAAGTGGTTAACCAGCAGTATGAGAGTTGAGGTAAAATGGGTTAGTAGGTCTGCTAATTCTTTGGCTGATGCTTTAGCCAAACAGGGGGTTTCTAGGGAAGATCTTTTTTGTGCTTCTTTGTAAGTTGTTATTAATTTGGAAATTAATAACTAGCCCGGAGAGGTTGCAACTTGTGCCTTTCCTTGGGGATTTTGTACTATTGTCTATTGCTGATTAATAAAACTATTTCAATTATCAAAAAAAAAAATTCATAACAAGGGAGTGATTGAAGAAGATGTTGCCCATAGAATTAGAAGAAGATGGGAAAAATGGCGAGGTGCATCAGAGTCTTATGTGATAGGGTGAATACCACTTAAATTAAAAAGAAAATTCTATAAGGCCAGCAATTCTGTATGGAGTAAAGTGTTAGGTAGTCAAGAAACAATGTGTTAAAAAAATGAGTGTGGTAGAAATGCATATGCTGAGATGGATGAGGGAATAACTAGAAAGGATAGAGTCAGAAATAAGTCTTCCGAAGGAACCTAAGAGTAGCTCCAATAGGTGATAGAATGAGAGAAAGTAGACTTAAATGGTTTAGTCACCTGCATGGAAGACCACCTACAACACCCATATGTAAAAATGATCAGTTACAAGTTGAAGGGGCTAGAAGGGCTAGGGCAAGACCAAAAATGACATGGGTTGAAGTGGTATGAAATGATTTAAGCGCTCACAAGTTAAGTGATGGATATGAAATTAAACAGAACAGAATGACAAAACAAGATTCATGTAGCCAACCCCATATAGATGGGATAAGGATTAGATGATGATGACGATGATTGGTTATTTTGCTTTTGTTTTTTCTTCTGCTATTAAAATTATATTTTTGAGGACTAATGGATTTTTTATGGTATTACTTGGGATATCAAACGTGCAATAGACTCCGGAGAGAGATTTTGTGCTAAAGTTTTCAGCTATGGAAATCTACAATGAGACTGTTGTTGACTTGCTAAATCGGGAATTGGGGCCTCTTCGGCTTTTAGATGACCATGAGGTATTTAATAAATATAACCTCTGCAAGTTGGAGAGACAGAAAACTCCTTTTTTTATCAGATTTGTTTCAATATCTTCATTTGGATGCAGAAAGGCACTATAGTTGAAAAGCTTGTTGAAGAAGTAGCTAAGGACGGCGAGCATTTGAGACACTTAATTGATATTTGTGAAGGTAGCCTCAAACTGCAAGTGTACTGTGAAAGGGGGAAGATCATATTATTAATTTCTTATTCCATCCATCCATGTAAAATTGGTACATTTGGAGGAGACCTTTGTTCAATCAGTCTATGTGACAACCTTAGATATTTTCCAGTTTAAGGGCAGGACAATGTAGCCATTTATGGGGAAATCTGGAAGTAAAGGCATTAATGGAATGGTTGGTGCCACATGGATGGGTGAAGAAACATGGTTTCATGCCATGGTACTGTATTAGCTATACTCCTCTTTGGTCACGTGTGATGTTTCTTTTCTCTTCTGTTTCTGAGTAATATTTGCAGCTCAAAGGCAAGTTGGAGAAACTTTTCTAAATGATACAAGCTCAAGATCACATCAGATAATCAGATTGGTAAGTATAACTGATACTATATCCAGCGAAACAGTATTGGCATGAAATGCAACATCCTGCATCCCCTACCCCTGTTTCAGGGCAATCAACCTTCCAAACAGTTTCAACATCTAGTCAGATGCTCCAGGAAAGTGTCCTTTCCTCAGCTTGTTAAGTTCATTGAGTTCTGGGGAGAAAATGCCTGAAGATATAAAATTCTTTTTCTTGTATCCCTCACAGACACATCTTACACCAATATCTGGAATATTCTATTTGGGACCAACCTGTACTGACAGATGTGGTTCCACTTGATGTGTGGCATACAGTACATTTTAGGTGTACAAGAAAACAAATTGGTATCCTTAGTATTTCTCTTTTAGGGAATGTGTCAGTTCCAAGACCCTACCAACGAATTATGTACTTTGGGACCACCTATATCCCACCTGCCAATGAAATATGGATAAAACATGGTTTTTATACTGGGCAGTTTACTAAGTAGTTTCTCATAATTGTTTTTATTATAAAAATTGATGAACAAAAGACTAATTTCTTACTACATGTCATTGACATTTTTGGTTTCAGACTGTTGAGAGTAGCTTCCATGAAAACTTGAGATGTGTCAAGTCATTCATAGCAAGTCTGGTATTCTCTTCTTTCTTTGACTGCTCTGGTTTCTTTAAAGAATTCATATCTCAGCACTGCTAATTGGTTTATTGGAAAAGTTGCAGAATCTTGTGGACCTTGCAGGAAGTGAAAGGGCTTCTCAAACAAATGTGGATGGTACAAGATTGAAAGAAGGATGTCATATTAACCGCAGCTTACTAACACTCACTACAGTGATAAGAAAACTCAGGTCAGTGCCCTAATGTACAACGTGCAATGGGAAAAAGGATCTGAATCAGATAATTGTGGTTTATATCCCTCTTTTACTGGTGCCCGTGCCAATGATAAGTAAGATCACTAAAGCACCTACCATAAAAGATATCAACAAAAATCCCCCCTAAGCAAAAAGAAAAATAAATAAAAAAAATAAGAAAGAGAGAGAAACTTGGACAAACATGTAAATATATAGATTTCTTGATGATATGGTGGTGTCGACATCCCAGAAATCATTTTGTAATTCTGTTTAATTCTGGTTTTTTCATGCCCTGAAAGATACATCCAGTTGATGTTTCCTCCTGTATCTGAAGTTGTAATCAATATCAAAATTTCTTGATTGGCTGTAATACATTGGATCTAAACACATATGACCATTCATAATTTCCCTTGCAGGTTGAGAACTTATGGTTGGACATCAATTTCCTTAAGTATATCCAAGAATAGAGAATTAGTAACTGAAACTACTGAATTTTAACCATGATTACTCTTTGGACTCTAACTGATGATCTTCTTTCTGCTGTTGGGTCCATTAGCTGGATGGTCCAATCCATCTGTTCTATCTTATTAGTTATTCCTTATTAGCAATGAATCATTAAATAGTTGAAAGATGGAATGCATAGGATTTTCTTCCTGATCCAGCCTTTTCTTCTTTCAGTGGTGGAAAAAGGAATGGCCATATACCATACAGAGATTCAAAGCTTACACGGATATTGCAGCCTTCTCTGGGGGGAAATGCTAGAACTGCAATTATATGTACCATGAGTCCAGCTTTAAGTCATGTGGAACAATCACGGAATACTCTCTCATTTGCAACTAGTGCAAAAGAAGTCACCAGCTGTGCACAAGTGAACATGGTAGATGTTTTATAAAAAATGGTGCATCAGTTATAAATACAAACATCAGTTGTTCACCAGTGGGCTCTGGCTTTATAGCACCAGTCACGTTCTCTCTCTCTCTCTCTCAAAATTTTGTATTATGCACATACACATATTTTGGATGCTTTATTTTTGGCATCTGACATTTTTATCCATTAATGCCATGTCCCAGAGATAGTTAAAAGCCTGCTTCTCCTTAAATTCCTAATTTCATACTTCCAAGTTGTCACTTTAGTTTCTTCTTTTAGTATAATAACCATTCTCTGTTTGTGGTCAACCTATTTTGTATTTTTAAGTTTGTATTGTTTTATGCATCTATCTCTTGGTCAGTCAACTATGATTTGGACCCACATATTCAAGTCTCTTTCTGAATCACCCATTTTCCTACACTTTCATTTCCTTTTTGCATGGAAAAGTATTTTGGTTGAATTGTAAAAGCACATGATTAATACAGCAGAACTGGTCCCACCTTAATATATCAATTGGATTGGGCCACAATGAGGAAACCGGTCCATTGACCACATCTTGAGGGATCAACCCTTATATTAACTGCTGTTTTTCTTTTTTTTTGGTACATCATCATTGTTTTTCCATTACTATCATCATCTGCCTTACCCAGAAACGTGGGTTAATTGCATGGATGTTTTTCCTCCATTGGCTTTATATAGGACCGTAGTTTTATTAAAAAAATCAGTTATATTTTTCTTGGTACCTGTGTCAATGTCTATTTGCCTTAATCTTTCTTTTAGAATATTTAACTTGCACCATAGCTTCTTGTAGGTGTATTCTTTGATCTTAGTTTTACATAACCAAGGCCCAAATTATCTTAATCAGCTTCCTGTTGTCTTGTTGTCAACTGGTACTATTCCCCAAAATTGGCTCATCCTTTCTACTTATTCATCTCTATGTCCTCATCTTTGCAACTATAATTTTATGGATGTATTGTTTCCTGATCACTTAATAATCTATTTGACAAAGTATAGTAGGTCTAATTGCCTGTTCTATAAGCTTCTTTAAATTTAGTGGGTATGCTGGTAGTTGCATTACACTCATGAAGCACTTACACTTCATCCATCCATTTTTTATGTGGACTACATCTTTTCAATCTTTGTACTCATGATAATTAACACAAGATATCTGACACAATCATTATGGGAGTCTCTTGACCATTAATATTAACCAGTTCTCTTATACTGTAGCTTGTTTTGAAACCTTTAGATTGTGATGCATATCACTACCCTGTCTAGTTTTATCAATAGTGTTATTTACACTTTTACAGATAACATAAATTGGAATCTCCTTTTTCTTCTTGGTTAAGTCATCCATGGCCAACACCAAAAAAAATTGCACTGCTTTAGATATGTGATTTTTATTTTGTTTTATTTTTATCTCCTTATAAAATGCATTGATGGATTAGCCACATTTGGACAATATAAATTGCACAGAAGCTACCAAATATTGAAAGGGAAAATGCATGTTTAACTTGCCTGGATTGAAAAAAAGAAGTCTTTATCTTAGCATTTATTCTTCAGTGCAACTGTGGTTGTTTTCATCAGTTGACCTTTCTTTATGGGCAGGTTTCAGACAAGCAGTTACTAAAGCATTTGCAGAAGGAAGTGACCAGACTTGAAGCAGAGCTACGAAGTCCTGAATCTTCTTCTTCTTCATGCTTAAAGTCCCTATTGAGAGAAAGGGACTTGAAAATCCAGGAGGTATTATAATGCATATTGGCTTCATTAGAACTATCGGCCTGTATCAGGTCACTCCTTACTGGTATAGTAGGCGGTTTCTTATGCGAACATTAGCAAACAATCTCTCTCTCTCTCTCTCTCTCTCTCACACACACACACACACACACAACCTCTAAATTCACCTGAATGCACTCATTTGTAATCCATTCTTTGTAATTTGCCACTTATCCAACTGGACAAGTAACTGATGTCCGTTCATACATTAATCCATTTTCTTTCTAATCAAGAAAACATACATTAGTTTTCTCTTCCTTTTTTTTCTGGAACATAACCTGTATTCATATATGAAATAAGGGATTTCTCAATCTTTCTTGTTATGAACTGAAGATTACATGTCAAAGTGTGAGAAAGACCCAAGGACCCATGATTTAACAGAGGATACAAATGTTGAGAGTGGCATGTTGAAAGGATTTTTGTACTCTAATCAAATAGGATGGAACATCGAAATGCTTTCTTCAATTGAGTTGACTTGAGTTACTTATCCAGCTATTAGACAGAAATTTATTCATTTTCCATTTTGGTATTATTTGTTGCTTATATTATTCCTAAGAGGTTTTATTTACTTGGTCATATATATTTTAGTCCAGTTTCAAGAGCTCTAGTGATATTATCTATCTTACATTTCCAGAGTTGAAACATTGCTCAACTAAAAGCTTTCTAAATTGCAAACAACCATAAGATTGTTGGTTGTATTGAATCCCAGGATACTTATCCAAGAGCACACCCTTTTTATTGCTTTTGAACACCAGATGAAGATATCCATGCCACTGTGCGCAATATGTTGATAGTTGATACTACCTTTGCTTGCAACAAATCAGGATATTGTCTTTAGTTCATGGACCTGATCCATTAAATGAGAGGGGGGAAAACAATCACAGAACAAGGAAGAATTAACATATCAAAATTTCTTTCCATCTAAAATTTCAAATTTGTCATTAATTCAAAATTTTGATGTGCAGATGGAGCTGGAGATGGAAGAGCTAAAACGCCAGAGAGACCATGCACAGACCCAGCTAGAATTAGAAAGAATAATGCACAGAGAAAAGAAGGTACAAAAGTGTACTGCATAAAATGGTCCCCATGTCCTATTCTTTCGTAACTTTGTTTCTTTACTCTTTATATGCATGATTGCCTTCAATATCTTATACTTTTTTTTAGGGGAGTCAATCTGGGTCTTCTCGCCAAGTAGTGAAGTGTCTTTCCTTTTCAGATGAGAATACTTCAGTTTCTAGTGCATCTGGTTTAGCAAACATAATACAAAACAAAGTGGGAAGTTGTACTTTGGTGTTGCAGTCAGGTTCTTCTACAGTTCCTTCCGTGCTTGTCCATGAAATTCGAAAGCTAGAGCAAAGGCAGAAGCAGCTTGGGGAAGAAGCAAGCCGAGCACTTGAAGTTCTTCAAAAGGAGGTTGCTTATCATAGATTAGGAAACCAAGACACTGCCAAAACCATTGCAAAACTTTTGTCTGAGATAAAGGACATGCAGGCTGTTAGTTCCACTATAGAAGATATTGAGGTTAGAGACAGGCCCAATCTGAAAGAAGAGATTACTCGGTTGAACTCTCAAGGAAGCGACATTGCATTTCTAGAAAAGAAGCTTGAGAATGTTCAGAAATCTATAGACAAGCTGGTATTGTCTCTTGCAGATAATGAAGAGAGTCCAGAGTCTGAGACTCCAGAATCCAAGGCTAAGTTAAGGAAGAAAAAAGTACTCCCTTTCACCTTAAGCAACAGCACAAATAGGTCAAATATGTCGTGCCCCCCCTGCTCGCCACTATCCTCTTCTAGGAAGGTAATGGAGTATGGGCAAGAGAACATGGTACTTCCTGAATACAATGACTTTGTGTGTGGTGGTGATGTATTAATACAACCCATTAAAACAAATACACCACAAAGTGAAGACAGTAATGGTATCCCGTCCAACAAGGGCACACCTGGCTCATGTCAATCAAAATCACTTAACATGAAGAAAATGCAGAAGATGTTCAAGAATGCGGCTGAGGAAAATATAAGGAATATAAGAACTTATGTGACTGAGTTGAAAGAACGGGTTGCAAAGTTACAATACCAAAAGCAACTTCTCGTTTGCCAGGTGAGCAATCTCTCTCTCTATATCTATACACCTCTCCAACCGGCTATAAGGATCCATACTTCACAACAAGGAATTCACAATTAATGGATGTATTCTAAATGGTTTACCCACAGAACAAAAAGGGCAAAAGGGTGCTGTATAGTTACATAAGATGAACTGCATAAATGTCATTTGATACTAATTTGTGTCCATATTGACCATGCAATATAAATGTCCCATAATGTTCCAAGTTAGGTTCAAAGTATCAATATGATACACCCCATATCAGGCGTATTGTATCTAAAAGGGGTTTGGTGGTTTGACCACTTTCAGGGGGTAGCCAGGCCTAAGACTGCCCCCTGTAAAATTTTGAAAAAAAAAGGAGCATGCTCTTTGAAACATACAATATGCAAGGTGTAAAGAGTCTCACTGATGTACCATATTAGTGTAGTCCTTGCTGTATTTTATCTTGTATTTTCTTGTTATTTTCTCTTTAGCCCTTCAAGGGCTTTTCTGTAAATATTATTATTTTACTAATCTTTATATTGAGGCTCTTGGGGTTGGGCCAAACTATTCAGTTCTTTAACCCCAGAAATCTGTCTTCTTCTCTCTTGTATGAACCTACTTGGTTGAAATCGTATCAGAGCAGGCTGCTCTGTAATCAGCACTTGCTTCATGCTCTCTCTCTGATATCTCAAAGGCTGCTAACTTCTGGGTGCTTTGTCTGAAGATAGGGCTGTTCTGATCGACCCTAATCTTTGCTCTCTGTTCTGAGATTTCAGCAAGAGAGGTCTTCCTGGAACTCTCTTGGAAAGCCTCTGTTTGCAAAGAAACCTGATTGGTTGTGTCGCCCTGGTCTGTTCTTCTAACTCAGAAGCTTTCTTTGAGATTGGTCAAGCTTTGGAGAAGTTCTGATCTTCTCTCTAGGGCGGCAGCAGTTTTCTTCTTCTTCTGGTCTTCTCTCAAGGACGGCAGTAGTTTTCCCTTGGACTAGTGTATTCTCAGGCCTTCTCCAAACTTTGAACATTTAGTTATTGCTACTGGTGCTTCAGATTGAAGGGTTTCAATAGACCTACTTCATTCCTTTTCAAGCTGCTTATCTGAATTCTATTGGTGGCTGATTTGAACTGCACACATCAAGTTGGTGAATCTCCCTTGGAACCCTAGTTTTTTTGTGCTGTCCTAGGGTTACTTGGTAGGAGCTGTGTTCAATACTGGAGGGCATTTAGTCCTCTCAGTTCAACAGTCCTGGAACACTCAGGTTGGACTGTCAACACAGCACTCAATCTTGTTGGAGTTACTCTGGATAAATTTCTTGGAGGATTTTGATTCCTCTACAGAGTGGCAAATCTGTATTGAAGATATTTGATTATATTTCTCTTCTAGACCAAATTTATTGTTGTTTGTCTGAACTGCTTGCTGCAACCTTGACTGAATTGTTTGGCTTAAACTGCTATTGGATTAAGTGAAGTGGTTAACAGCCCTGAACTGCGCATACCAGTGCTGCTACTTTTCTTCTTGGGTTGCCTTTATTTATTCTTGATGGCTGACAAAGTAGATATTATCCCTGTGAAATTTGATGGAACCAACTACAGTATGTAGAAGTTCCATTATGATTTCCTTGTTGATGGAAAGGGGCTTGAAGGCTACTTGAATGGCACTGTCTGCAAACCCGATGAAGCGGACAGCAAAGCCTTTGCACAATGGAAGATTAGTTTCCTGGATTCTAAGTTCCATTGCGCCTCATATTTCTGTTCCTATTCCTATTTAAAGAAAGTTTACCATCAGTCCAATATGTCTCAGCAATATCAGATTGAATCTGAAATCTTTGCCTACTGCCAATGAGACAAAAAGATATAGGAATACTATGCAGGCTTCATTGATCTATGGGCAGAATATGAACTAGTTCACATTGATCCATCGGATTCTCCAGAGTGTGTCAAGTATCTGCAAAAACACTTTGAGAGTAGAAAGGTGAATCAATTCCTTATGAGGCTGAGACCTGAATTTGAAATAATCAGGTCAAACATTTTGAGTAGAGGAACTCTTCCAGATTTAGACTCTGTGATGGGAGAGTTGTTAAAGGAGGAGACTATACTCATGACTGCTGCAACCATAGAGGGAAAACAACTTGATTCAGGGACTGATACAATTTTTATTGCACGTGGGAGTAAGAAATCTAGTAGGAAGGATCCCTCTAAAACTCAATGTTATGAGTGTAAGGGATTTGGACATATAGCTTCACACTGCAAGAAAAAGAATGTCTGCACTCATTGCAAATAACATGGCCATATCATTCCAGACTTCTCAATTCGTCCATCCAAGGGCACTATGAAGAAGAATCAGCCACGGGCTTATCAGGTGTCCGAGGGACAAATGACCAATGCCTCTATTGCCAAGGGAGAATCCTCTACATCCATGAATAAGGAAGAGATACGAAAACTGGTATCCTCTGCTATCTCATCTGCCTTTTTTCTGCTATTGGCCTATCTGATGAGTTCTCCGGTTTCTGTTCTTCTCCCTCTCAAGTTTGGATAATTGATTATGGTGCTACAAATCATATGATTGGGGCCTACCTTGAACCATCAAACAGATCTTCTGAAGTCAACCATAAACACACTGTCACTACTAATGGTGAGAAACTTGACATTATTGGGAGTGATGATTTATGTCTCAAACTCTCACCCTCAAACTCCTTGTCCCTGGCCAAGACTTTCCTTGTCCCTAAACTTATTGCTAATCTTATTTCAGTTGGTCAACTAGTTGATGAAGGTCATATACTAACTTTTTCCTCTAATGGTTGTTTGATTCAGGATTAGTGCACTGGGAAGGTGAAAGGGAAGGGGTGTAGGTTGGGCCGCTTGTTTGCATTGGAGTTTGAGAAATCACAACCAACACCATCATCTACCTCTTTGAGCTCCTCTACATTGAGTCTTGTTTTGGGTCAGAGGAGCTATGACTGGGATTTGTGGCATAAATGTTTGGGTCACCCAAACTCTAAGAAACTTAAATATTTGTTTGAGTTTGGTTTTATTAGAACTAAAATTCATTCTATGAAATTGTTTGATACATCTTGTGTTTCTTGTTGCTTGAGTAAGAGTCGTATTTTTCCATTCACTCACAAAGTTAAACATACTACTTCGCCTTTTGAAATTATACATAGTGATGTTTGGACTTCACCTATTGTTTCTCGATTGGGATACAAGCATTTTGTACTCTTCATTAATGATTGTACCAGATACACTTTGATCTACTTTCTCAAACACAAATGAGAAGTTTTCCCAACCTTTTGGTTGTTTCATACCATGGTTCAAGTCCGATTTCAAGCAAGTGTGTAGACCTTACGCTCTAACTCAGGGGGAGAATGCAGTGATGGAGAATTTCTGATTTATTTGAAAAGTCATGGCATACAAGTCCAACGGTGCTGTCTAGACACTACTCAGCAAAATGGTGTGGCAGAATGAAAGAATGGTCACATTCTTAGTGTTGTGAGGACTCTTCTACAAGAGTCACATGCACCCCCCACCTTCTAGGTAGGTTGCTAGTACGGCTGTGCATTTGATTAATTGTATCCCTTCATCAGTTCTTTGCAACATGTCTCCTCATCAAAAGATGTTTGGATCCCCCCCAGATCTTTTCCATTTACATGTTTTTGGGTGTCTATGTTTTGTTCATCTTCCCCCTCGTGAATGTTCAAAGCTTTCAGCTCAATTTGTCATGTGTGCCTTTGTTGGATATAGTCCTAACTATAAAGGGTTTCTTTGTTATGATCCCTCTACATGTTGTATTCGTATTTCTTGGAATACAATTTTTCTTGAGCACATCTCTTTTTTCTCAGGAGTTTCCAAGTTATCTGCACCCTCTATTTCTCTTTTATATGATTTTGACTCACAGGATGCTCCATCAACTGCTAGGAAATATCTTCTTGTCTTCTTTCGCAGGCGAGTTCGTGGTCTAGTACCTACGTCTACAACCCCTCTTTTTCCCGCTTTGGATCCTTCGCTCGTCTTAGATAACCATGTAAGTGACATTCCTGTTTTAGACCCCTCGAGTGTTCCTCTAGTTCCTTTACATCATTCTACCCGTATAACTAGACCACCTGACCGCTATGGTCTTCCTTCAGACTATAGCTCCTTTTCTGTTGTCTTGTCTTCCACAGATATTCTCTGATCATACCAACAGGCCATTAGCAGTCCTCAATGGAAGAAATTTGGTGGTTTGACCACTTTCAGGGGGTAGTCAGGCCTAAGACTGCCCCCCTATAAAATTTTGAAAAAAAAATGAGCATGCTCTTTGAAACATACAATATGCAAGGTAGTGTGTATTGATACTTTGAACCTTAGTTCCAAGGACTGACATGGACTACGGATGGTCTGATTTTCACTTGAGCCTGGTCTTCCAAAGGCCAGGCTTGGGATGCAGATTTCAGACCATGAACTGGTCTTGGCCTAAATTGTAGGCCCATTTATCAAATGGACCAGGCCTCCACTTAGATTATTAGGCCATTGTGAAGTCCAATATCATTCATACAGCATTATTTTAACTCACAACATTTAACATTTGTGTGTTTCCTTATATATGTGTATGTACACATACAACATGTGTTTAATCATCATCATCATCCAACAATCCAAGTGGATAAGGGCATGGATGATGAGTGATGATGATCCAACTATCCAAGTCTTATCCCAACTATATGGGGTTGGCTACATGAATCCTGTTTTGCCATTCTGTTTTGTTTAGTGTCATGTCCATTATTAAATAATGGGTGCGTAAATCATTTCTTACTATTTTGAAATATGCATGTGTTTAATAAGTTAGTAAATAGTTTAACATTTTTGAACTAGGTTTGCATGAATATGGTTTATATCAAAGAAAATTGATTTTGCACTTACGATGTACATTGAAATTGAGACAATGAAAAAGCTATATATAATACTGTTTATTGGGCCATGTTTGGTCGTTTTATGTGGGCTATGCCTTTCTGAAATTAATATAAACTGCTTGGGTCAGGCCCAATCTTGTGGAAATCATAAGGACTAGGCTTGGCTGCAATTTTGGACCAATGGGCCAAATTTCTTTACTAAGTGGGCTAGATCCCATGATTAGCATGGCTAGACTCAAGATCAACCCATGCATGCCCCTATACTTGCATGAGTGAAACTGAGCTTCTGGATAGCCATATTCCAAAATCATATTGGTAAAGACTTCCAGGTAATCTATAAACCTATATCATGTAATCAGTATGAGATTTTCCCTTTTTGCCTATCCAAGAAATGATTTAACAAATGAGCTTCTTTCTCCCCTTATGGCTATGATAATACAATTGCATTCATAGATAAGAAGAAAAGTGGAAGAGAGAACAAAGAAGAGGAAGAAAGAGTTTTTAGGAGAAAGGATAAAAGTTCCACAATGTATCGGCAGGTCACCAATACGTTGTTTTAAGGCTTTTTTAAAAAGTCTTGATTTCAATGTTAAATAGTAATATTTCCACCCTCTCTCAGATTTTGAAAAAAACTAAAAAAATAAAAAATCCAAAGTATCAATACACCCGTTCTGGCAATATAAGTCAATCTCCAAAACTAATAAGTAATCCAGTGACTCTAACAACAAATATGAAGATGTTTTGGTTGTTCTGATGGATATAACACTTCCAAATGAAGACAATGGCTTCGCCTTATGAATTTAATATATAATAGTGTAAGGGCATGTGATGTGCACACACAAGTAAGTATTTACCATATATGATATATGGTATTTGAATTTAACTTTTGTGACCTCTACAGAACCCAAAGACAAGTATCCACTTTATATAGTATAGATGTATACATGTTACCGATTTTGTGAAAATATACATCAATATCTTGCAATTCAAAGTCCAGTTGCCACCTGCATTATTGTAGTTTGTGATCCAACATAGCTTTTGAAGCACCATAATTTCATCAATATCCTGTAACACTTGTGTTTTTATTTTTTCATCTTTTATATTAGGTATTGGAGCTGGAAGCAAATGAAGCTGCTGTCAGTGAGACAGTAGCACCAGATCAGTCTCCAATGTCATGGCACTTTGTATTTGAGGACCAGAGAAAGCAGATTATCATGCTATGGCATCTTTGCCATGTTTCAATTGTACATCGTACACAATTTTACTTGTTATTCAGAGGGGATCCTGCCGATCAGATATACATGGAAGTTGAGCTTCGTAGGTTAACATGGTTGGAACAATATCTGGCTGAGCTTGGCAATGCAAGTCCTGCCCTCTTAGGGGATGAACCTGCTAGTTCCATTTCCTCAAGGTATTCAAGTGTCCTCACTGTTGTCTGCACTCAATTGGTCATCTATTTCTTTGTTTATTCTAAACTTTGTAACTTGGACTTGAAAATAAGCTGGCCAAAATTTGAGGGGAGTTCACTTGGCGGTGTCAAACCAACTATTATTGTGGTTAGATAAATTAAATGGTAGACAAATTTTGGGGGAGTTTGGATAAGGTAGAGACAATCCAAGTAGATCATGAGTTAACATTTAAGCAGCGTAGTTATCAAAATAAATGCTGAATACATTCATTTTTTCCATGGTTTTCAAAACCGGACTGGACCGGACCAGACGGTCGGACCAGAAAACCGGGAACCGGTCAGGTGACCGGTTCTGTTTTACCCCAGAACTGTTATTTTCCCAAAAACCATTGATTTGGTCAGCAAACCGCTGACCTGGGTGGTCGAACCGTTCAACGGTTTGGCTGGGTTTTTTTTTTATTTTTGTCAGAACTGGCCATCCATTTGGTTCGAAGGGATGGACCATTCGACTCGGGAACTGGACCCCTGACCGGTTTTTTGTCCAGTTTGGCTTTAAAAACCTTGTTTTTTTCTTCTAGCCATCTCATGGAAGTTGTCCAAATTTTCTACTGACTTGGGGGTGTTTGCCAATATGCATGATTTTTTTTTGATGTTGCAGTTATTCTTGTTTTAAAAACAAAATCCCTAGTTTATGGAAAATTACTAGTGAACACCCCTTTGGTGAGTGAGTGAGTGAGATGATTCTCTAGTTTCTGGAAAATTACTTACCAGTTTCCATGGATTGTTTTGGATATCCAATATCCATGTTTGGTCCAAAAGATGATGGCTGAGCAGAGTCCAAATGTATGACTTGGAAGGGTTTCTGGAAATTGGTTTATCTATATGTTTAGAGAGAGGGAAGGAGGTATACTACATATTCACCTCATAATTAGTGGCTTAAGGTGATTGACATAGTACTGACCTATTAGAGATGAACATTCAAATATCTGTGATTGTCTTTTGTTTAGCTTTTTTTTTTTTTTTTAATTTTTGGTTTTCTCAATCTGTCTACTATTTAATCTTCTGTGTCGTGATGCAGTATCCGAGCTCTCAAGCAAGAAAGAGAGTATCTTGCTAAGAGGGTAAGTACGAGGCTAACAGCAGATGAACGGGAAATGCTTTATATTAAGTGGGAAGTCCCACCTGATGGGAAGCAAAGGAGGAGACTACAATTGGTAAACAAGCTTTGGACAGACCCACTCAACATGCAGCATGTACAAGAGAGTGCAGATATTGTAGCAAAGCTTGTTGGCTTTTGTGAAACTGATGAGCACATCACTAAGGAGATGTTTGAGCTCAATTTTGTTCCCTTTTCTGATAAAAGAACTTGGAATGGGTGGAACTTGATATCAAATCTTTTCCATCTGTAAGAAAACATTTGTGGTTCTAATCCTCAACGATTCAATCTGTTCTCTCCTATTTCTTTAGTACTTTCATAAGTGAATATTTCATCCAAGAAATCACATTATATGATCTGATCTCAGCATAAGAATCCTAATTTTTTCTTTTACGACATGCCACTTCGCTGTGTTTACGAGTGAGGTCCAACAGATCAAGAAGTTTTTGCCTTTCTCTAGAATGGTGAAAGAACATAACAAACTTGTTGACATGTATTCATGCATAACTCTACATGCATCCATGCCGGTTTATTGGAAGGATTATTACGTGTAACTTCTGAAATTCAGTTGGGAACCGTTATTTCTCGCAACAACATTCTCTTTTTTCATGATGTATAGACTGTAAAGGGCTCTCCTAACATATCTTATGCTGGTAAAAGTGAACCGGGGAGAACTAAAAGTGATGGTTATAGTCAAGAAGGGCTAAAAGAAAACAATGCAATTTCCTGTTTTGTTGATGGTTATAAAAGTGAATCAGGGAGGACTAAAAGGAAGGATATGGACGTAATTCATTCAGGCTGTGTTTGGTTTGAAGGAAAAAAACTGTACAAAAGGTTAGTTGAGTACAGGCACAGCTGTACAGGAAACGTACTTATGCAGATGCATATAAAATGCATAGATATAGTCGAAAAAATAAGATATTCATAGAAAATCCAAGCAACTGAAATAAATCTCAACAATACATTTAATAAAATTAAATCTAACATTAATAAAAATAAGATATTCATGTGAAGTGGAAACAACGTCATACACTTGGGCTATATTTGGTTTAACTGAAATAAAAGGAGGAAGAAGAAAGTTAGACGGAAAGTTATTAACAAGTTTTGTGATCCCTCAACACTCTTTTTCTCTCTCATATTTTCTCTATCAAACCAAAAACATCCTTGAGGGGAAATGACAGAACAATTAAACCATGGCTTTTCTTTTTAATTTTCTGTTTATTATTAATAAGAAAAGGCTGGTAAAAATGGTTTAGAAAGTCAATACTTAAAACAATGCCAATTTGTAACTTTAACAAGGCGTAACATTATAAGTTAGCAGAGATTATCTTTTTTTTTTGTTATTTAGGGGTTTGTAGAGGAGTAGAGCTGTAAAACGGGCCTCACTGGGCCGGCATGGCACGGCCCACGGCCCGAGTCCACACAGGCTTGTGCCATGCCGTGCTACGGGCCGGGCTGGTTCATGGGCTGAGCCTTATGTTAGGCCAGACCGTGGATTGGGCCAAAGCTATTTATTTAAATAAAATTGAAAAAATCTTAAATTTTTTATTTTATATGAATTTTGATGTATACAATTGCTTATATATACAATAATTCAATAAAATAATATAATAAAATTGAAAATAATTGTTTATTTTATTAATATATTATATACTATATATTATTATATAATTATAATTTATAATATACTATCTATTATATATAAATATATACAAATATATATGGGCCATGTCGGCCCGGCCTACGGACCTAAAACCCCAAGCCCGGCATTGTTCATACAATCATGTTGTGCCTAACACGGCCCATGAACCATCATACTGGACTGGCTCAAAATCGTGTCGAACCGCGGGCGACACAACCCGATTTACACCTCTACAGAGGAGTCTTAGACTATGTTTGGAAAATAAGTGTGTTAGAAATAAGTACTTATTTAATAACTCTTGTTTTCAAGTAATTTATTATAATAAGTACTTATTAGTGTTTCAGAGGCCTTTTCTAAAATCACTTATTACTGATTTTAAGTAGTTACTTGTGTTGTAGTGTTTGGTAAATTGTTTATCCCATAAAATATTATATTTGCAGAAATAATAATTATAGCCCTAACTTCTACTTGGAAAACATTCAAGATTCAAAAAGTATATGAATAAATTGATAAAAAAAAGTATATGAATAAAGAGATAGAAAATAGTAAATAAACGATTCAAAACTCACTATTATAGTAGGACTGTAGGAGGCTAGGGTTGATTGGTTGCTAGATCTGAAGAATCAAAGCAAAAGCTGCAAAATAGAGCGTTAGAATCCAAATGATCAACGGAAGATAGAAAAAAAAGGTATGGGAGAAATAGTGAGAATAGAGAAAATATAAAAATAAAAAGGGACAAATTTTTTAAACTATTTTTATGTTTTCGCACTAAGTATACCCTTCTTATTTAACTATTGTCTAAGACTACTCTTACTATTCCAAAAAATTACCAATTGTCGTTAAATATTGACGGAGGGGCTAAAATGCCCATTTTGCCCTTAAGTTCAATTTGACGTTTGTCGCTGCAACTTCCGCACGATTGGTGTGTGACAGTGAGAGGAAAAGGGCAACGGAGAAGAAGAAGGCCAAGAAGGGCCCCGTTGCAGAGAGAAGCTTCCCAAGATCGGCAGATAGAAATTGGAAATCTCCGAGCAGTTCCAAAACTTTGGAATCTCCAAATGTGAAAGATACTCAAATCTGAGAGATAATCAGAACTGGGCATCAACATCACAACACAAAACTGACTTTTTCTTCTCCTCTGTTATGGGCGCTTCCGCTTCTTCTATTAGGCACCAAATGGATTGGCTTCCAGCTTTCCACCGTGCTCCTGCAACTCACGAACCTCACTGCTTAGGCACCAAATGGATTGGCTTCCGGCTTTCCACCGTGCTCCTCAAAGGCAGCTCGGAGACGTCGATGAGAGCATTTAGGATTCCCCAAGCATGACGGTGTGGGCATGGACACTGTGCAAGGAGATTCGGGTGGCCAAAGAAGGGGCACATTTGGGTGTGGACTTTGGTCTTCCCTAATTGGTCGAGATACCTCAGCCGCTGCACCTGGAGAGCGATAGTGGATGCATGTGGTTCTTTAGGTATTGGCCGAAGGTATTCCAATCTCGATGCTTCTGGCTCTCGTAGGGAGTACATGAGGGAGAGAGAACGAAGGGGAAGAAGGAGAGAGATAGATAGAGAGAGAGAGCACTTTATGATCCCAAAATATCCTTTTTCCGTTGGGAAGAGCGGCGACCTGGCAACAGGTGTCTGGAACGATGACTGAGCTATAGTGGTTGTGCAACTGTCTACAAACCAAGTGGCTTTGCAGGCTTGTTGGATCTTAGGTGGGATCTGAGATGTGGTATGTCGTTCGCTACTACAACCTCTAAGAGGGAGTTCGTGCTGAAGTAGGGAGTGAGAGGGCCGAAGGTGGAGGGTCCGTTGCTCCAACGAGCGGTGGTGTTGAAACAGGGGAGAGAGAACTAAGGGGAAGACCCAGTTTGATTTGCTGGAAGAAGACGATAGAAGTGGAAAAAAAGAAGGGAGAGGGAGAGTGATAAAGGGTAAAATTGAGTTTAAAAAAAATTATATGTCATGCGGTGTTAAATAAAGTTAATTAATTGTCAGAAATAATAGGTATTCTTAGACAATAGTTAAACAGTAGGGGTATAGATAATAAATTAATTAGACTATAGTGATAGTTTAAGAATTTTGCCAAAATAAAGAGTTTTTCATGAACATGATATTTGATTCCACAATAGCCGTCATTGCTGCAAATTAACCTTTAATGGAGAAAAAATGATAGGGTTCTATCATCCTTTTGAAAATAGAGGCAGACCTAAATAAATATTTATTTGAATAAGTAATATTATTCATGTTTGGTAAATAAGCACTTAAGTGTTAGGACCACACAATAAGTGAAAATAAAAACTTGTAAAAAACACTTATTTTCTGAGGACTCTCCCATCTTCAAAAAGTCAATAAAATACTATCGTTTTCTCTCCATGAATGCTAACTTGTAACAGTGGTGACTATCGTGGAATCCCATGATCATGTTTGTGAAACCCCACTGTTTAACTTTCTTTTTTTTTTTTTTTTCCCCTTTGATATTCTATTACATCAATCCCTTTCTATATTCCCTTAGTCTTTTGGATTCTGTTGCCCTGCTTTGCTTTGGTTTTTTATATCTAGCACCCAATCGGCCCTAGCCGGTGGCTTCTACTATAATAGTCAGTTTTAAATCATTTATTTACTAATTTTCTAACTCTTTATTAATCTATTTTTGAATCTTGAATGTCTCCTATTTAGGGCCATAATTGTTATTTCCATAAATATAAGTATTTATAGGATAAATAGCTTACAAAAAACTGTACTTAAAATAAATATAAATGGTTTGAGAAAACACCACTATTTATTCGAATAAGTACTTAAAAACAAACACTCATTTTCTAAACATAGCCTTAAGCTGTGTTTGGTTAATAATGAAATGAACAGGAGGACTTATTCAGTCTTTTAGTAAATAAGTTATGAAGGAAGTTGTGAGTTTCTTATTGGGACAGTTTGTTTTTAAGTACTTACTTGGAAAAAGTGCTTATTTAACCAGGACCACATTATTAAGCACTTATATATGTGTCTGGGAAATAAACCAAAATATGTATTTATTTTTTTTTTCAGGAAATAAGCACGTTTTGAATAAGCTCAATTTTTTTCAAGCACTTTTTGAAAAAAATGCTTATTACATTTCTGCCCTTGTACTGGCCTGCCACATAGTTTTCAAAATACATATATTATCCACATTTGAAAGAATCGCCTTTTCACCACACACTCATAAACACTTATTAAGATAAACACTCCCAAACAACCACTTAATGTGGCCCGCATCGAAATTGAATTGCTGATGGAGTAGTTGAAATGGTCACATGGTATCCCTTCGTTTCTAAGGCCCATTCAGTTGGGTTTATTTTAAGAACCTTTTTTTGGTTTTGTTTCCTCAACATTCACCTTTCACTCAAAAACCTGGAAAGCCCCATTATACTTTTGTTTAGTCATGTAATCAACTTTCCATTGAAACTAAGGCACCAGTTGAGATGGCTTTTACATTTTGGGGCGAACTGTGTTAATTGAATCACTTTGGTTGATCCTTGGTGTTCCAAATAAGCTATTTAAATTAGCTTTATGAAATAAAGTCATGATTCTGGCATTTGAAACGCCCATATTGACTTTTTGGATTTTCACCAAATAGAACCTCAGATATTTCCATATGGATCCCAACTCAAAACATCATATCATGTGAGAGTTGTAAATCGGGCCGCCCCGGCATGATAATACGTGGGTCATGTAATTATATTATACTATTTTATTTAATTATTGTATACATAAAAAATATATAAAATAAAAACTTAAACATTTTTTTTTTTATTTTTTTAAATAGACTTCTCATAGCTTGACCTGGTCCACAACCTGATCTAGCCCAAGGCTCGACCCATGGATCAGTCCAACCCATGGCACGGGTCCATGCAAGTTCAGGCTGTGGGCCATACCGGGCCAACCCCCAAATTATTCCAAGAGAGCCTGAAATGACCCATGAGCCGATACAACACGGCCCATACTTTGCGCGGCCCAAAACAACCCGATTTACATCTATCCATGTCCTAAAAACCCTCACAAATGCATAGTAATTTTTGTAGTTTCTTCAAAGTAGCTCAATGCAATCAAAATTTAGCAAAGGCTTTTGTCTTCACATACCACATTAGGGTTTATTTACCACATTTTTGATAAATTGCAGATTATCAATCACCCTGTATTTTGGGTATTGATGCTAAGCCCCCAAAGTTGATAAGGATGTCCATCAGTGCAGTTTTCTGGTTTAGGCTGTGTTTGAAATTTAGAGTGGAATAGTGAGAAATTTTATAAAGTTTGTCAACTCAACTTTCTGTTCCTCTCTTATATATATTTTTTTCTATGAAAATCAAACCAAACATTTGAAACTGTTGGGTACGGATTTTCACATGTACAAGCACCAGTGATTGAGAATCTTTTGTCTTATTTTACTGTGGATACTACAATAACGGTGGAGATTCAGTACATCTTATCAGTTCCACATTTTATAAAAGGTGTCAATCCAACGGTCGTAGTTTAAGGAGAATAAGACCTAAAGAGGACCACGATATCACGAACCCTTCCCTTAATAGGGGCGAAGTGAAGTCACCAAATTCCTTTCTGGCTCTGCGGCGCCACTTCAGTCTTGATAGAGCAAGGGTTTCTTCAACTAAAACCGGAGAAAACCCTAATAAAGGCGAGGTAGATTTTCCGAGAGAGAGAGAGAGAGAGAGAACTTGTCTGATCTGAAACCATGGCAAATGCTACAAGGGGATTGTCGCAGAAGGAGGCCGACATCCAGATGATGTTGGCCGCGGACGTCCATCTCGGGACAAAGAACTGCGACTTTCAGATGGAGCGTTATGTTTTCAAGAGAAGAACCGATGGTATGATCTCCTTTCTATTCTCATTTTTATTTTCCACTGTCATTATTTGTTTCTGGCCATATTTCTGTTGTTATTTGTATTTGTTTCTGTTTCTTGTTACGCTGTTTTTGTTTCACTTCCATTCTTTTATTCCCTTTTCCTTTTCAAAACCTATTAATAGTCTAAAGCATAAGAGTCATGTGTGGTTTATGAGTCCTCACGATCACTGGTCTACTAAGTTTGATGGAATGGAAAAAGGAAGTGAATTAAGAATTGGTTTCTCATGTACAATGCAGTTTCCTTAACCCCCCCTCCCCCCCAAGAAAAAAAATCCATAATACAGTCTCACCTATGCTTGCGATCTAGTTCAATTTGATGAGATAGGTACAGCAAGTTTTCTCGTGCGTTTATGTATTTGGTTCTCCATATATATGCTAATATGTATTGGAGTCAATTGGATCTTGTATGAATGTGCATGATCGATGTAGCATACCAAAATCCTGAATGATGAACATGACTGCAGGGAAATAATCGGTTTGTTATGTTTTCGTTGCAATTTATTTGTGTTTTTCACACATACCATATTTTCATGGCAATTGCAGTAGCATGAATTTGTTCCATTAATTTGCTCAACTACTAAACCTTTTCTGCATAATTTATTCTGTCCTAATGCTCAGGTATTTTCATTATTAACCTTGGGAAAACGTGGGAGAAGTTACAGTTGGCAGCCCGAGTTATAGTTGCAATTGAAAATCCACAAGATATTATTGTTCAGTCTGCAAGGCCTTATGGTCAAAGGGCAGTGTTAAAGTTTGCTCAATACACAGGAGCACATCCAATTGCAGGGAGACATACTCCTGGAACATTTACTAACCAAATGCAGACTTCATTTAGTGAGCCTCGTCTCTTGATCCTCACAGATCCCAGAACAGATCACCAGGTAAAACCTCATTTACCAAGAGTATAATCTAGATAGTTATTCTGTAGTATATTTGATTTGTTCTTTCTCTTTGTAGCCAAATATTGTCTTATAATTCTTCCTTATCTATCTGCAGCCAATTAAGGAAGCTGCCCTTGGTAACATTCCAACAATTGCCTTTTGTGACACTGATTCACCAATGCGATATGTTGACATTGGGATTCCAGCTAATAACAAGGGAAAACACAGCATTGGTTGTCTGTTCTGGTTGTTGGCTAGGATGGTTCTGCAAATGCGTGGGACTATTCTTCCTGGACAGAAATGGGATGTCATGGTAAGAATAATTTCTAATGTTCTGCAAAATTTTGAAAAGGGCTGCTAAATACTTGGAAGCAAGTCTAAGCTCTATCCTTGTATTTGTTGTATGAGAATGCTATGATAGTTGCCATTTCTTTTGGTCAACAATAAAACTATTAGAATGATAAAAAGACAATGAAAAATTATTAGCAATAAGATAGCATTTTGTTCTTACAGTTCAACTGGGAAGTTTTTCTGTTCATCTGCCTATTCAATTTTCATAGATGAAATACTGAAAGCCATGATGCTATGGTGTCTCCAAATTTTTCATAATGTGTTTTATGTGCAGGTGGATCTATTTTTCTACAGAGAGCCCGAGGAGGCCAAGGAACAAGAAGAAGAAGATGTTGTTGTTGCCCCAGATTATGGGGTACAAGAATATTCATCTGCTACACTCGCCCTTCCAGGTGATCAATGGGCTGGTCAAATAACTGAAGGCCAATGGGCTCCAGAAATTGCTGCAGCAACTGGTGTTCCTGTTACAAGTGTTGAATGGACTGGAGCTCCAGGTCAGTATTAATTCTCACATTTCATTTTATCGTTTCTTAATGATTTAAATTGTGAAATATGCAAGATAAATTTTAAGATCCCGAGCAGAGTTTGGAACTTTGGTATTGGAAATTTGATAATCTCTGCCAGTAGGGAAGGAAAAGTGCGTAGTTTGTGTTATCTGGATTGCTCATTTTATCCCTAAATCCTAATTAACCATTGGATAGATAATCATGTTTTGGTTTTCTTTGACTTGACATTTAGGCAGGTTTCTTGTTAAATCATCTTTTAATGTTTAAAAATTAAAATATTCAAACCCCAATTTCCTTTGATCACAAAAAACCTAACTCCCATTTTTTGCCACATTGATGGCCAACGGGGTGCATCATATCAACATTTTGAACCTTGAATGAGAGATCCAACATCTTTCCACATTTGTCTGCAATAGTATGCACAGTAGATAGTCTACCTGACTAATATTTTCCTCTTATGAGTCCAACGAACTGATCTTTTATAGGATTCTCTGCCATTTCATTAGTTGTACCAATGTGTGACATTGTTCTTTTTTATTCTGTACCATAGTTCCATTATCAGGCGATGGATGGGATACAGCAGCTGCACCGCCGACAGTGGCAGGAACCGGAATAGATGTTGTTATGGCTCCACCTTCGGGTTGGGAAGCTTGAGATCTACAGTTTTGCGAACGCCTTAGTTAGGAACTTACCTTTATCTGATTTGCCATGAAAATTTATTGATGTTTTACAATCGTTTTCATTCTCTGCTGTGGAGGGAATGAACTTAATTTTGATAGAATGTAGCTTGTGATGGGTTGGCGAAATTTTTTGAATTTTTAGGTGAATCTATCTGGCGAAATCTTTTGAATTTTTAGGTGAATCTATTCGTTTTTGTTTTTTTATTTTTATTTTTGGTGATGTAAAAGGTCTCATGGCTGGATTTGTGGAGATTACCGAGGGTTATATGTTGTCTTCGAAAGTTTCTTTCAAGAATTTGGAATGCCATTTTGCCATGATAAATTTATAATGTGTGGTATTGTGCAATCATCATTTGCATTAATTGTGGTATTGTATTAATGCAATGGTGGTATTGTATTAATTGTGTCAATCAGGTTGGTCGTGCACTTGCATTAATTGTGTTAATCAGGTGTTTCATTTAATGTGTGCAAATACCGATGCATATGAGAATTGGCGCGCTACAAATTACCACAGTCGCGTGCGTTCATTATTCCAATCAGGTTTTCCATTTCGTGTGTGCAAATACCCTTGCATATATAGACCACACAGGAGAATTGACACGCTAGAAATTATCACAACAGACACCCTTAAAACTGTTTTTTAACGGATGTTTCCGAAGGGTGATATTTGGCAGGCTTGTCCTGCAGATTATTTGATGCATTGTCCCTTGCTGGGTTTTAGTTTTTCTTGGCAAAAATGAACGGACAGATAGTCCATAGATGGATACAGACGACAAGTACATACTGAATTTTTTGTCTGCGTAAAACGTCAGACTCACGAAAACCTTTTTTTTTGTTTAATATATTGCTTATTGTTATTATTATTGGCTTGTGACGATCCAGTATCTGTCGTTAACCAGCTGATAATCAGCTGTTAAGTGACATTTTAAAAAGACAAATGCCTTTTGAATGTCATTTAATTTTCTTTATCAACAACTATCACAAAAAAAATAATACTTCCAACTCCTAAATCCTTGTTTCTATTCAAGAAAGTTGGAGTTACTAGAATGTCCATTCAAATATAACCCAATATTCTTGAATGGAAGCAGTGATTTGTGACTTAATTTTTTGTTAACATTTAGATGGTTGATGAAAAAAATTAAATGACAGTTGAAGGACTTGTGTCTTTTTCAAATATCATTTAACTGCTAATTAATGGCAGGTTTTGAATTGTTGCATTTAAAAGTTCAGAGACTGAAGTGACACTAGGCATAAAATACAGGCTACTAATCGAAAATTCTCTAAATTTTAAACACAAATTCCTTGATGCATATTTGGCATATAGGAACATCTCCATTACGAAATTACCAATGCTCAGTGGGATGTTGGAGCAAATCCCATGAAAACTAATGCATTGATACGACTGGATTTCGTTACAGTTGGTTTGTATACTTAATTCTGACTCATGTTTTTAAATCCAATTAAATTTATTTGTTCAATATAAATTTAGGGTAAATTACAAAGACCCCCTGTACTATGGGGTCCGTGACAAAGACCCCCCTGTACTATGACCATGAGACAAAGACTCCCCTTGACCATTAAGTTAGATGACGGAATGCGTTAAATTATCAAAATACCCCATTAAACTTTTTCTATTTTCTTTTTTTTTTTGCCTTTTTTTCTCTTAAAACTTTTTTAACCTATTGTTTTTCCATTCTTTTCTTTTCCCCTCCCATACCATCCTCTCTCATTCTTTCTCGTCTTCAATCTCGTCCTGAACTTTGACCCCTCCAAAATCCTCCTTCCACATTACAGATAAATTATTGAGATTTAACCCTTTTTTTTGTTAGTTTGAATAGGTAAGGCAGCCCAATGCACGAGGCTTGTTCAATGGAAAGGGATAAATGTATGCAGCCTTACCCATAATGCAAATGCATACAGATTTTCTTTCTCTTTCGTTTGTCCACTCTTCACGGGAATTTTTTCTCTCCAACCAATGCTTCCATTACCTTTCTCGATTTTCTTTCTCATTAGCTTACCTATCCTTCCTTTTGATTTCTTTTTTAATTTTCTTTTGATAACCCCATTTGTTTAATGGATTTCAGTTGTCGTTAAAACTCTTACCCCTGTCTTTTAATCCTTTTCGAAGTGTAGATATTAGTCGCAGTAGATAGGCTGATGATCTTTGGTGGCAGTTTCTTTTAAAAGGATGTGGGGCTTAAAGGACAAAAGCATACACTCTTTATGTAGATTTCTGTTGTAAGGCATTGTCTATCATTTTCAACTTTCCCTTACTCTTTTCAATATACTAGTTTTGCGTTTCATCATTGAGATGATATGTGTTGCATTGTTTGCCGTCTTCCTTGAGATGATATGTGGAGTTCTGTTTTCTGTTTATTCATGGAGAGAATGAGATGTTTTTCTTAGGATAAATTTGCATAGTATAGGGAGGTCTTTGTAATTTATCCATAAATTAATGATGTGTCATTTAATAGGATAAATTGCTTAAACCTCCTTAAGTTCTGGACCACTACTAAAACCTCCTGTAAGTTTGATAATTGCAATAATCTTCCCTGAACTTTCTGACAGTTGCAAGCAAGCATCCTCTGTTAGAATCTTCCAAAACCAGGCATGGAAATATCCAAAATACCCATGCAATTACCACTGAGGTTGGTTTTTATAGAAAAAACCTACAAATTTTACAAAAAAAAAATTAAAAGGGAAAATCAATGATGCGAAAAAGATATGGCATGGAAAGTTTTGACCAATCAAAACCCACCCATAAATTTTGATAAATGACACTATTTGCCACCACATTTATGGTTCCAATTTATTGGTCAGTTGTTTTTCAGATATCATATATTTTCCATGACAGTCGAATCCTAATTAAAATTGCAGCTTTACCTTTGAATGATCTATATGAAGGGAAAATTTGAATGTAAATGAATTTAAGAAAAGAGATTGGAAGGGTTTGGATAGCAGTTCATATGTACAGAAAAACTGGAAATAAACATTTTGGTCAAACTGCTTAGATATTTTAGATATTTTCATGTCTCATTTTAGGGAATTCTAACCATGACAGAAAGTTTGGGAGAGGTGATTACAACTACAAAACTTTAGGAGAGGTTTCAGCAACAACCAGAAAATTAGGGAGGTTTTAAGATTTTAGCAATTTACAAAATTTTAATAATTATAGGTAAGATTCACTTCACATATATAAGATATTATTTGCCTTCATCATGGGCATTGATTTATAACAGTGGACTCATGCGGCACGTTGGGCTCAGTTCAAGAATTTTACATATATTATTTTAAACCGATAATAAATTATATGAATGGAAATTCTTGAATGCAGGTCATAAAAATTAAGAGCATATTTCAAGTTTATTAACAATTTGACCAAGTCCAGTAACTCTGCTAGACACTTCCCGAGATCGAACTTGCAAGTTGAGGGATAAGGGCATTAGATGATATGAAGATGCATTGTGGTTAGGATTCAGGACAAGAGACACCCTCCGATTGGTGGTTACTTTTAGCGAGTGTTTTAAAGAAAAGATGCCGTACGGTCCATATTACTCGTGCATGATTTCTACTACATCATCAGTGATGGGTTCATAGGCGAAGAAGATGAGATGAGATTTTCTCTGGAACATAGTCAAGGGACTGGAGAAACAAAATTTTGTGAAGGGAAATAATAAAGCACTATTGTAATTGGAGCTCAGTTTTGCAAATAATAACTATATAATATATACAAGATTGAGAACTTTGGAGTCAATTGCAGAGAAGGAATAGAGAGCTCCAAAAAGAATTAACTATAACTATTTACTCTTTGTACCTTTGTATTTGACTCTGAAGGAGGGATTTTGAAGATCAACCGATGCAGCAAATTAGACAAGACGAAGGCCTTTTTAAGAAATTATCTTACAAAAAGGATGCCGGTACCGCTAGATTTAGTTCTTCCGTGTTCGCAATTTTCTCTCCAGGCGCAGCATCCTTGGATCCGCTTGAATCAGGAAGGGGTTGGAAATGTATAATGATTCAGCAAAATTGAAAGATGGAACCGTGGACATCAATGGCATAGTGTTTCTCCATATGCCACCCACCGCACAAAACTATCAGAAAATTCACCAAGTATGTCCAAATTCTGGGTAGCATCATAAGAAAGATCGGCTTCTTCCTGATCTCTTTCCTGCAGGGAAAAAACATAAAGCTGTGCCGGTGTAGATTAAACGGGTAAAGAAAGTTCACAATCAGGTAACAAACGAACTTGAAAACACAGAGGGAGGTAGAGGGATAATTACACTCCTCTCTTGCTCTGTGTGTGCATGGGGGACTGACGCTACACATTGACAAGGGCACCACATTTACAGTACACAACTAGTCTCAGATTTACATCAAAAGTAAATATTAAGATTATTTGAATTGGCTCTGTTGCAATATTTGGGTCTCATTCAAATTTAATTCAGGGCTTTCTTCAGTGTCTGCAATGTACTTACAAGTTTGGTAAAAACTGGATTAACTCTACCCAGTCCACATATGACAAGGAAGACGGCTTGCAGCAGAACTTGATATGTAGAATACAGGGGATCTTGCAGAATGCAGGCTACTAACAATAAACTACAGATATTTTATTTGTTAAGGACTATACATTCTACCGCAACCATCAGATAAAGTACCAAAGCATTACAGACAACAGGGTTCAGGGTTTATCAGCAGCAGTGTTAAAAACAGATTGAACCGTTCTCCCCTCCAGGTTAATGGGTCAGTGGCTCATCCATCTAGGAAAAAATGTCAACCTGTGATGTTATCAACAACATAAAAAATAAAATAAAATAATACAAGAACCTGTTAAACCCACAGAATGGGTAAGATGGGTCAACAGTTAAACCACCAAGGTCCAAGGTCAATGGATCATTGGCCCACTCAATAGGTTTGTCTAAAATAGGAGGGCCAATTCTGTCTTCACAAAATTATGCTCACTCCGTTCTCACAGCCTTTTTCAGCAGTGCATTGGAAACATCTCCATACATTATCTTTTTATTCATGGGATAAACGGACAAAAACAGCTTAGAGAATGGTGTGAGCACAATTTTGTGAGGACCAAATCCGATTTCCTAAAATAGCAGGTTGGAGGTTGACCCAAACTGGTATTGTAGTCAGGTCAACAATGGGTTGAAAACACTTATTAGCAGTAAAAACAATTCTTACAACTTTCCTTTGATCACTAAAATAATCAAAAGGTTCAGATTAATCTCCGCAAGGAACTGCTTTTGGTTCACGGCATTCAACAGATACTAAATTTTGAGTGAATAAAGATATTGGTGGACAAGTGTACAGAGTGAAGTATGTGAATATAGTTTGGGATCAAGAATAAAAGAAACAGCAAAAACATAATCAATGTTCAACTACCGATACACCTGAGTATCGGTACCTTGAACAATACTCCTTTCATTTTTTTTCAAGTTTCAGTTTCAAACACACACACACACACACACATATATATATATATTATAATGGGTTCCAAAAAACAACTGTAAACAGGTGTATCAGGGACCAAAAGGTCCGATATGATACACCTGATACGGGGCGTATCATATCGATACTTTGAACCTTGAACATGATCAAACGAATGTCATAGGCAAAAAACAGGCCAAAGATGCGTTTGTATTATTTGCGTAGTAACTGTTTTAATAAAACATCCTTGTATTTTCCAACATTACTTTGAAAAATATTCCAATTAAATTTTGATCCAAAATTAAAAAAAATTGCGAACAATAGTCATACTATTTATCAGCTATGACAGTACTAACTTTTCACTGTTGTTGTGAGAATGGGCCAAATGGGCCCTAATGTTCTTTATTTTTTTCAAGTAGTGTTTAAAAGTTATGGGCCGTCTTTTATTTTCTTTAATTATCTCCTTAGTGCTGGCCGCCCCATTAAGGGCATCCAAGTAATTGTACTCAGACTTAGAATTATTAATAAAAGTGATGAAAGGGGGCTAGAGAGAGAGGTTCAAATTCTTCTTTTCTCTCGTCCCTTCTTTTCTTCTTCCACAATCTATTCCTGAAACTTCTTTTCTTCTTTTCTTGCATTATTTGAATTACTGTAGGTGTAATTTTCAACTACTGTATAGTTATTATTTGATCAATACTGGATAAAAATATGTTGACAAAAATTAGCATTACATTGATGACATACTGACCTTCATACTGGATCCATATTCACTTTGAGATGGGGTTGTTTCCACTGTAACAACACTCATGACATTTTCTGATGACATGCCTGCGATTGGAGAGTTAATGAGGGCAGACCTGCAGCATTTGAAAAAACAGGCCCCCTTTAATTTCGCCACACAAACATATTTGCCAGATTAAGACAGTTAAAAATAAAGCCATCCTAATTCTGAACTCCGAAGATTTGGTAAGGACCTACATAATTTATATAACTTTTACTGTTCAACCAGTAGGCTAGTCTTGCCTCGCATATCTACAAAGCATACTCAACTCCCAGAATGTTGTCAGATAGAACATCTGAGCAATGTGATTTTCAACCCTGAACATAATCAAGGCGGAACCACCTCCTTGCATATGCATCAGCATTAATGCAAAGATAAAAAAACCAACTTTTTTCTTTCTTGTTTGGGTGTTGTGTGGTTGAGCAATAACATTTTTTTTTGAAGATAAATAAAGAAAATTTTATTGCTTAAAAAGGAGAATACAGCTTAAACAGGTGACAAGGAGTCACCCCATCCAGCCAATACAATGGCAAGGAAAAGTATCACAAAAAACAAACTTCATAGAACATAAAGCATAACCAAAACTTCTAATTAATCATTCAGAGTGTGCCAAAAGTGAGCTCCAAAGTCTTCCTTCTTAATATTGTTATTGAGCAATAACAATATTGAAAGAGAGGTTTTAATTCCACATTGAAGAATGAAGGCAAACAACATAAACACGTGCATAGAAATCTAAATGAAACTGAGGTATTTCCAGTCATTAAGAACCTGATTAATAAGAACGAACCATTATATCACGCTGATAAGCATATAATTATTTTATACACATTTTCAAGTGCAGTAGAATAACAAAACTTAGAGCATAGCAAGATAACATCAATTACCTTTCATATGTTTCCTCTTCACATGAATTTCCTGACGAAGAAAGCCAATCAAGGTCGAGAAAATTTGAGAAATTAAATGCTTCCCCATTTTCATTGAAACAAATCTGATCACTTTCAAGGCATCTATCCCTTTGCCCATCAACAAAAAGCTGTCTTTGAGCCATTGAAGGTGTGTACCTACAAAAGGACAATAAACGAATTCTGAATTAGCAATTTATGACATTGTAGAAAAGTAGTTTCCTAATCAGGATAATAAAAATTCAAAAGCTTTCCCTACACAACATACCCTATTTATAAAATGTAAGGATGATGTGGCAGATCCTAACAGGCACAAGGGTAAGGGGGCCCTGTAGATATGCCCTATTGTCAATCTACAGTTCCCATCATTCCGGTAGCATTATCCCCCCTCCCTACCTTGTAATGGTAGTCTTACCAACTGATATAATCAGTTGGGTTTTCTCATTTCTAAATATAAACAAATGCACAAAGAAAGGGCTATTCTAAATATGTTGCTAAAAATTAGGGCAAGATCAGGTTAGAACTGGTACTGAACTGATGAAATTACACATACCCAGGCGAAAAAACCTAGTTCCATAGTTGTCAAAGTGATGCCTAAGCAACAAAGCACCCATGGAGGCCACACCCAATTGCCTAGTTTTGGTACAAGACATCATAATGTTTTAACATATTTAATTTGTATGATTATAACACTACAACAATATTCTTAAACCAAATCATTCATTTTCTCAGTTTATAATATTTTCATAATTCATATACTAGTTTCTTTTAATTATTTCCTTATTTGTTCAGGGTCAACCATCACACAAGTTAGTTGACACTGTATTGAACCCTTGAGAACTTCATAACCTGAAATTGAAGATTTTACATGACTAACGCAGAAGAGCATATTCTAGTTTCTTCTTCTGTCCCTTTCTTTTCTTCTTTTTCCAGGACAAGAATAGGTCTTCCGAAACACCAAAAGATCAAAAAATGGTCTATTTCCATTTGGTTACAGATAGATCAAAAGACTCCCTCATTTGAAAGACCAAACACCTAAAATCAGGAAACTTAAAATGAAGTTTGAGCTAAAGGAAGCTTAAATTGAAGCTTTCTAGTACATGTATATCTAGCAAATGTGTACGAGTTGAAACAATTTTACGAATTATTATAATATTATATATAGTATTATTAATTAATAACTAATAAATACTTATAAATTGTGATACTAAAAAGTAATATACATTATTTTGAAGAATAATAATGGCATTTTATTAAAACAGAAACTGATTCAGGTTAAGAGGCATGAGCTGCAGAAACTAGAAAAGAGTACAGGAATCATATCTGAGCCCAAAACAATTCTTCCCTATTAGCCCCTTGCTTGGCTAACACATCAGCCAAAGTATTTGCTGATCTCCTGACTCACTGAACAGAAACTGACATATTCCTCATCAGCCAATTAATCTTCTTAGATTTGTTCTTATAGCACCAAACAGTCTCCTTAGGTTTCATTAACCAGCCCACCACCACCTTTGAGTCCCCTTCAATAATTAGTTGCTGTACACCAGTACACCCATTTGGTTTGTAAAATGCACCCTTTGTATAGCAGCTAGCATTTCTGCCCTAACAGAGTCACCAAGTCCCAAAGGACCTGAGTACAAAAGAACAACCTCTTCTCCAAAGTACACCTTACGAAACTTACCATGGTCTTTTTTTATCTTTTTGTCTTTTGAGAACATCTCTCAAAGTACACCTTACAAAAAATGTTTTGCTCTGCAAAAAGCAGCTCCCAAAACCTCATCAAGTCTTTTGATCTGTTCTGTTGAGCTTTTGAAAGATCATTTTAGTGAGACTTGCTAAACAACACCTAAAATTTTCCTCTTCTTTTTAAGACAGATTTTCCACTGCTATATTTTATGAATTTTCTTTTCTTCCTTTTCATTTGATGAGCATGTTGATTTTCTATGTTCTGATATGAAGTTCATACATAATTACCGCAATTATTAGTATTTAGTAACTAATAGTTAAGATGATTGCTGGTTTCCATGAATCCTGGGGAATTACCATAGGATTTAGGATTTCTATTCAAAAAAAAAAATCCTTTGCCTAGGAGACAACACACTTGCTGTTGCCTAGTTTTGCCTTGGTGCCTTGATAACTATGCCTATATCAGTGTATATCTACAAGTAGTATGACTGACATTTAGGGCGTTCACAGGTTGGGTTGGTGATAACTTTAGGGCCCTGAATACATGGCTAATCAAGAGATTGACTAGTTGCTTGTCATAGGGACGATCTTGACCATCACATCACATTCCAAAAGGTCCTTATTCAGACAGGAGTCACAGGACATATCATTCCACCTGTACTTTTTTTTTGTTCCAATGAATGGCATCATAATCATTTTTAGCAGATAATAGATATTTGATTTTTTGTAATGAAAAATTCCTGTATACTGCAGAATACATTATCATTATAATAATTTATGGTAAAGAAGGTTTAAAACTGGCAAATAGATTGAATTTCAAGAATACAAAGGTGGTCGGGTAGACATAAAATGAGGGGCATTAAGGAAATAGCAACAATCTTGGGAGTGACATTCAGACTGATTTCGATAAAATGATCTCCTACCAATCAAAAAACCCCCAAAAGGTCATGGTTCAAAGAATATTTGTTCACTACAATTGCACATAGCAGAGTCTATACTTCTACTAATGTTTCACATACAATATTTTTGGTCCTAGGATATAGATATTCTATCTATCTAGTTGCAATTATGAATCATAGAACATGGAGATAGTAGTTGGGCCCTCAAAGCATCAGGTAAAGACAAAGTAAGCCAACCTGGAATATGAGACTTCACTTTCACAAGTTGGTATTTCTTTCATGGATTCAGAAAGACCTTTGGCACTCCCTCCTTGTGTTCTTTCAGGCAATGCTGAGTTAGAAAATTTCTTCTGCCCAGTATTTGTAGCTGCCATGGGTGTATTATTTTCGCATAGGATGTTGCCATCAGACAAGGATCTTTTGAAAAATGACCTACAAACAGAAACTCATAGTTACTGATCAAGTGCATAGTACTATTCTGAAAATACATTACAGATCCCTGTTATTGCAAAATACAAATAGTAATTGGACATGGTTGGGTGCAAGTCAGGTACCCAATTCCCCAATCCCAGCCCACCTAAGTTACATCCCCTATACATGGGCCTGAAAGGTGCTTCTCTGGTAGAACCATCTTTTCACCAGGATGACTTTTGATAGAAGGTATCATCGTAAAATCCACATATTTCCTAGGGTATAAAACAGCATATCCAAACTAGATTGGAACAGAATAAATTCTCAATTGCAATGATGTAGACTAATCTAATCCAAATCATAGACTAAAATCAGGGATCGAACCTTAAATTAAAATTACAATCAATAACATGGACTTACAACAGTACCTAGAATTTTCATCTGCAAATGTGTAACCCCGCCTCCCAATATTGTAATGCTGGTCTGAATCCAGCTCCCACAATGCAGGTTTACCCTGTTGTGGTTGAAAATGCCCCAGAAACCTGCTTACTCAGCAATAAATCCATGCAATAATATCAATATTAAGGAAACGAATAAAACTCAAAAATAATCTACAGGTATCAAATAGGAAGGCCATGACTTACACATTTATTGCATCCTGTTTCTCAGCATCCATATAGGCATTGCTGTAGTACCGTTGCAGGGTTCTGAAGAATTCCTGGGATTGGGTTGCAGCCTTCCATTGACCCCTTCTCTCAGAGAATATCTATTTTCCATAAAAAAGTCAACATATAGAAAGATACATCTTTAGTTGGAAAAGAAACTATGAACAAAAAGAGCACCACCAAGAACAGGCAAATAAACAAGGCTCACAAATGGGGAAATTGGGGTTGATTTTGTTGTGTAGCCTAGCATTGTGGGCTTTGGCCTGTTTATGTTATGCCATGCTAATTATTTGTGTAACTTCTTTTCTGGCCTAAATGGGCTTATGCTTATTTGGAGGGCTGGATGAAAGTGCCACCCATTTCCTCTAAACCTCTCTTCTTCTGTTTTTCTTCATCTTCTTCAGAACTGAATACAAACATGGCATCAGAGCTTTGATGCTATCTTCTTCACTGATTTGAAATCTCATATACTGCTTTTCCATTCTGCTCGTTTTCTTCATCTTCTTCAGAACTGAATACAAACATGGTATCGGAGCTTTGATACTATCTTCTTCACTGATTCAAAATCTCATATACTGCTTTTCCATTCTGCTCGTTTTATTTATTTATTTGTTATTTAGGGTTGTTAAAGAGACCCTAGCTCTGCTCGTGGTGTCCTAAAACCCAGTTACTTTCTTGGGTTTTCCCTTGGGAGGTCCATGGAACCCAGAAGAGGTTTGGTTTTACTCCAATAGGGCAAGACAAGCTGTGAGTAGTCTCTGGACTACTAGAGTAACCTGCAATAAGCAGGCTAAGATTGTGAACTACAGGAAGGTGCATTCCGAGAAGATTTTCAGATGTTGTTTCAAAGATTTTATGTTCAGTTGGAGGCTTCCAACAGACTGAAAGTGAAGTACAAGTTGTTGCCCTCTAGTTCAAGTATTTAGAAGCTGAACAGTGACTGGTTGCAGACCAGGAAGTGCCTTACTGAGGATGGAACAAGGATTGCAAACCAGGTGTTCAATTTGTATTTCAGTTCAAGTTCCCTCACATTGCCCTGCTGTTTTTTTGTTGGAGTGTTTTCCAGTCTACGGGCCGGTAGGTACTGATTGTTTCTTCTGTTTTTTGGGTGAAATTTCACATCAGAAACAGCTCATTATGTCCTCAAACTCTAGTGAGGTAACCTCTAAGGAAAGTCAACCAAGTGAGAGCTTATTTAACATGGAGAACCCTAGCTTTAGCTTCCCTAATCTTCAAATCACAAATGTAAAATTAGATAAATACAACTGCAAGGAGTGGTCCATTTCTCCAAAACCTCACATCACAAGCCGTGGTTTACTAGGGTATATAAATGGACAGTCCAACACTATCTGATACAGCTCATAAGATTTGGGAGAAATTATCTAACACCTATGGACAAAGGAAAAATAATGCAAGAGTTTTTAGACTGACACAAGACATTGCAGCCTTGACTCAAGTAAATTTATCACTTGCAACCAACTTTGCTACTCTTGAGGGGCTTTGGGAAGAACTTGAGCATCATCTTGTCCTTGATTGGAAGAATTCTGAGGACCAAGAAATACACCAAAAGAAAACTGAGGAAATGAGAGTGTTCAAAATTCTTGCAGGATTCAACTCTTCTTATGAGAGTATCAGTTCTCATATCTTGGGGAGAGAAGGACTTCCCTCTTCGCAGCATGTTTCTTACTTGAATAGAAATGAGGAGATTCAGAGAAAAGAAATGAAGATAGAAGCCCCTCCACAGCTGGGTGAACACTCAGCCCTTGTTTCAGCCACTCAAAAAGGAGGAAAAGGTAGTGATAAAAGAAATCTGAAATGTTCTCATTGTGGAGGAGAGAAGCATACCAAAGATACCTGCTGGATCTTGCATCCTCAACTTAAACCAGCAACTCTTAGAAAGGAGAAAATGCTGAATAAAGGCCTAGGACCTTACGGACATGTGGCAAGTTCAAATCTAGTGGATGGAGTGCAAATGTCTACCACCCAGAGTGCTTCTTCTTGTGTGGGACAGACCGCTACTACCTCAAATAACTTACTTGAATTTACAGCAGCAAAGGTAGACATCCTCAACCGGGCTATGGTTCGATTGAAACAATCCACTACTCCTTCCTGATCCTTTGCCAAGACAGGTATGGCTTCTACCCTTAGTGCTATTTAGCCTCGTTTGAATGACCCTTGGGTCATTGACTCAGGCGTGCCTCTGAACATATGACAAATAATTCCTCCTACTTCTCATCTTATCGTTTTGGTTCTAGCAATAAAGTGAGAGTTGCTGATGGCTCTCTGCTCTACCATTATTCATGGAAAAGGAGATCCAACTTGGAAAGGATCTTTCTCTCAAATCTGTTTTGCATGTTCCAAACTTTACAGCTAATTTGCTTTCAATTTCTAAAGTTACTAAAACCTTGGATTGTATTGTGACTTTCAGTTTCAGGATAGGCTGACGAGGCAAATAATTGGGAGTGGTCATGAGGCTAGTGGTCTCTATACTATCTCAATGAAGATATTACTTCAACTCTTCAAGCTTCAACAAGTCACATTGGTGAATGCAAGGAGTCTAGTGCTACCATCTATCTTTGGTGTGCCAGATCGGGTCACTTGTCTTTTACCTTGTTAACAATCTTGTTTCCAAAGTTGTTTCAAAATGTGCTAAATGAGAGTCTGTTTTGTGAAATGTGTCAATTGTCCAAACATTGTAGAACAAACTATCTAAGCTATAGTAATGAAATTTATGATCCTTTTGATTTGATTCATTCTAATGTATGGGATCCTTCACCCATTATTTCTATGGATGGCTATCGTTACTTTATCACTTTTATTGACCACTTTACAAGATGTACTTGGATTTACTTGATGAAAGGAAGAAAAGAAATTCCTAGAATCACCATAGTCTTCTATAAAATAATCGAGACTCAATTTGGAAAAAAAGATTAAACAATTTCATTTTGATAATGCGGGAGAGTTCTTCAAGAATTCTCTAAATGTGTTTTTTGATGATGAGGGACCATTATATTAGTCCGTTTACAATTTCACTCCACAACAAAATGGAGTTAAAGAGAGGAAAAATAGACTAATAGAAACTTCTTGTGCTCTCTTGTTTCAAAACAAGGTGCCAAAGAAATCCTGTCCGATATTTTAAGCCCAAGCCCAAACCCACAGGCCTGAAATCCTGTCCAAGCCCAACTTAGATCAGGTCAAGCCGGGCCAGCACATCAGGCTACCTGGCCCATGAACAGGTCTACTTTTAACCCAGCTGAATTGCACTTCCACATCTTTAGTCAGCCATTTAAATCTTTTTTCCTCATTGTTGTACATCCAGAAACCTTTGCCTTCCTTTGCAGTCCTTTAAACCAGCTGAATTGCACTTCCATATCTTTAGTTAGCCATTTAAATATTTTTTTCTCGTTGTTGTACATCCAGAAACCCTTGCCTTCCTTTTGCAACCATTCCACTATAACTTTGAGTCACCTTCAATAATCAACTTCCTAACATCCATTTCCTTCGCCTTTTGCACTCCTTCCATGACTGCCATAACCTCAGCCCTTGGGGAGTCACCTACATCAATTGGACCTGAATATAACCCAATAAATCTGCCTTCACCATCTCTAAAAACCCCTCCAATACAGAAGGACCCGGGTTTCCAGTGTTACTCCCATCAAAGTTCAATTTAATGTAATTAGGCATTGGAGGAGACCAAACAAGACTTATATGGGGTCTAAGACTCAGAACTGGCCACTTCCAAGAATTCAGGATATCACCTATTGAGAAGTTGGCAAACATATCCATAGATTTAACCCAATGAATCACTCTCACCGTAATGGTTCTATTATAGCTCCTCTACTTTCCTTTTCTGAAAACAATTTTGCATTCTTCCCTTCCCATATGGCCCAAATTACAGCCACCCTATCACATCTCCATAAAATTCGTCCCCTTTTCTTTGGCCACTTCAAGAAAGAGGAATCAAACAAGCTTTGCACATTAGTCAGGGGAGACCACCTGCACCCAAATAGCAAGAAAAACCATTCCCAAATAAAAGTAACAAAAGGGCAAGAGATTAATAAGTGAAAGCAAGTTTCTCCATTATCCTTACACATAATACACCGGTGAGGAGGTAAGCACCAATTTGTTCTTTTCCTTTGGAGTAAATCGCAGCTATTAAATCTTTCTAGGAGGACTTCCCAACAAAAGCCCCTAATTCTTGGAGGGATAGGATTACACCATACCTCAACCACTGGAAACGAAATTCCCAAGGGATCAAAAGGTTGAATGAGGGCCTTAAAGAAAGAAGCACAAGAAAAGGAACTGGAGGAAGGAGTCCAAATACGGCTGGAGGTTTTGAGGATTCCAAATAAACCCCATCAAAGATATGAAGCAAATCCAGGACCTCATTAACTTCTGAATCCCTCACACCCCTCCTTCAGCTCAAATCCCAATCAAAACCAGTTCTTGAACTTGAGGGAACCAGGAAAGATGCCACAGATTTACCTTTATATTGCGAAAGTGCAAAGAGAGGGGTATTTATCTTTCAATGGTAGATTACCCACCCAAATATGTCCCCAAAATTTTATAAGGTTACCAAAACAAAGATCGACCCTTCTATAAAGTTCAATATGTTCCCAAATATGTCCCCTTATAAGGACATTCCTTGAAAGACAAAACTTACAAGGGGATATAGCAGAAGCAATAGCTTAAAAAAGTCACAAGCATACATAATTATGCATGTCAGACTTTAAGACATCTTGTAAATTAAATTTATTTATTAGCTAAAAAATAGACCCTTCTATAGTTGCTAATGTTTTTTTCCTGACATTTCCCTTTTTTTTGAGAAGAAGGTAGGTTGTCATTCTTTCATTTTTCTGTATACCAGTATGTTCCTGTACCATGAGGCACTTTCCAAGCAATGTATATTCCTGATATTGCCATTTTTCAATTAGGGGATTATAATAAATCAGCATGAACCATTATTACACAACCACTCAAAAAAAATAAAATAGAAGATTGAAACCATTAATGTTTTACTGGTGGGGGGGGGATAGGGAGGAACCATTTGGGAGGGTGGAAAATCAACATGGGTGGGGAGTAATACAAGTGAAGATTTCTGGGCCATGGGAGGGGGGGTGGAGGACCAAAGCTCCCCCAGGTCCCCCCTGGCTCCACCCTTGGCCATAGGATATGGATATCGGGTTCCAGATACTACAAGGCATCCTATGTCTGAGGTAGTGGTTCCTGAGCCACATTTCCAATTTGACAAAATACCAGCACTAAGTTGGACGATTTTTAGGTACTACCAACATAGTTAGAAGGTTACCTTATTGTGTGCAGCAGACCCACCATACTGAAGTGCAAGAATGTCACCCATTGTCTCATAAAAAGCCATCAAGTCATCAGCTAAAGGTGCATCCAGATCAATATTTGGTGCATCTATAAATCCCAGTGCATGCAGCTGATGTCCAAGTGCAGCCAAACCATAGGCATATTGGGCAACATTTGTACGATCCAAGCAATCTATACAATTCGTCCTGAGGACACCTTGTTGAAGCATAGGTTCCTTGACCATGTGATTTCCATTAACATAACCGGTATCCTTACTGGGTCTAGTTACCAAATTGTTGGTGTTTTCACTGTTGCTACTATGTTCACCAGGAGGCCTATCACCAACGTCATTTTTCCTGTAATGGATTTCACTGTAAGTACAGCTTAAAATGAAAAAAAATGCATGTGCCAAGAAAACGCAAGTACTGTTATTTGACCACATTAGGATAGAATTTGAGGATACATCCTTCAACATAAAAGTCCGAAGGTGGTAAGCAGGGAGGTCCCACTTTATATGTTATAATTATATTTAATATGAACTGACTTAAATTCTCATATCCAATTGGTGGCTGAAGGATATGGAGGGTAGGGAAGTCAAAGTGGTGGTTAATTGGGTGTCCTCCACCTACCACCCATACAAGTTTGGTTGGGCATGTTACCAGTATAATGTAGTCCTGCCCAATGTCAGGGTTGTGTTCAAACCCTTCAAAGTCAGGTCATTGAGCCCCTATCCAAGTTGTTTCTCTGTCCTCCCATATGACTTATTTCATTCCTGATAAGATGACTTACAATTCTCTCTTCTATCAATCTATAGAATTGCAGGTAAAGATGAATATTGTACAATTATCGTATTGGCTTAGTGTCAACATAAGTAGTTTGGCAGTGGTTAACGGTAAATATATGAAAGAAAGTGGAAATCTCTTGTTCAGCAAATAGTTTGAGCCTTTATGGCTTTCAGGTTTTCTGTGCAAAAATAGGAACTGGACAGCTAGCAGCTTAAACCTTTTGAACAAAGCTATAGTGGTTGCTTGCAGAACTTCTATGAGAAGATTGGATCTGAACAGCAAACCGTGTAGGCATTTAGAGGGAGCACTATGGTGGTTTGCTTGCAGATTTTCTGTGCAGGAAAAGTTTGTTGATGGCTCTATGACCACTTCTTTGCCTCACTTAATTTTGAAGCAGGAGGTTACTTGATTCACCTTTCTTTTATGGTGTTAGTTTGCCCTTTTAAACTCTCTTTTTCTCTTATCACTGACTCAACCCTATTATTGCCATGCTTGATTGGTAGTAGGTGCAATGTGACCAGAGTTAGGAAGACCAATCTGTAGCAAACTCAATGGAATGAGTTTTACACAAGGGGCGCAAAATGCAGAGTTTTGACTCCATCAGTTGGGCCTCAAACTGAACCCCTTTGAGATTTCACAAGTGGTCAACATGAATAAATCCAAGTTGTATCCCTAGTTCTACTACCTCTTCATGAAGATGCACGACAGATATGTACTTCTCAATTTTTTGAATCTGTATAAACAACAATCAGGTATAGAAGATACTAATGATAGCCGGCAAAATTGAAGAGACTAAAAAATTGGACTTACTCGTGTAATACAAGGGTGGGATTTACTAAAACATTGAAGAGACTAAAAGTTTGGGAGAATGGAAGAAACAAAAGAGAGAATTGCAAAAAGGATTGAAATGCTAGACCAAAAGGAAGGCCAGAGAGAGATTAGTGTGGAGGAAAGGTCAGAGAGGAGGATTTTGGAGGGAGATGGTAACACAAAATTCTTTCACTCAATGGCAAATGGAAGAAGAAGAAGAAACTTGATCTCTAGCGTTGAGGTTGAAGGTTAGGAGATAACTTTGGGGGAGGAGATTGTCAAGAGTTTTGTGGAGCATTTTAAGTCGATCTTTGCAGCTTTAGGAGAAAGGAACACAGAACTAGGAAACCTGGATTGGAGTAGAGTACTGGACACCCAAGTAACCCTTCTAGAAAAGTCTTTTAGTGAGGAGGAGGTCCATGAAGCAGATTTTCAATGGATAGATCTAAAACTCCAAGACTCAACGGTTTCTCAATGGCTTTTTATTAGGACTGTTGGGAAATCATAAAGACTTGATTGAGGTTTTTGGTGAATTCTTTCATAAAGGGGAAATTTCACCAAGCAAATGCTACTTTCCTAGCCCTAGTACCTAAGAAGAAAGAAGTCAAGACTCCAAAGAACTATAAACCTATAAGCGACGTGGATAGCCTCTATATCATTGCTAAAGTCTTGGATGGGATATTTAAGACTGTTGCCTTTGGTAATCTCCCAAAATCAAGGAGCATTTGTGGAAGTGAGACAAATAATTGACCATATTCTTGTGGCAAATGAGTGTGTGGTTGAAAGGAAAAGGCAGGGAGGGGAAGGAATGTAAGCTAGATTTAAAGAGAGCCTATGATATGATGGATTGGACTTTTCTCTCGGGACTGATGGAAAAAAATGTTTTGGGAGAAAGATGGAGAAAGTGGATAGAAGGTTGTACAAGTTCAGCACATTTCTCAATACTAATCAATGGAGTGGCTAAGGATTTTTCCCTAGCTAAAAGAGGTCTAAGGCAACGCAACCCTTTCTCCCCTTTCCTGTTCACTCTTATTGCTGAGGTATCGAGTAGAATGCTCAGTAAGGTTGATTTAGAAAACCAATTTATGGGCTGGAGGATTGGTAGAAATGAGGTTGTCATTGTTAGAATATTAGAGTTATGTTTGGCTGATAAGAGTTCTTATTAGCCCATTCTTATGTTTAACTTATCTTGTAACTGGGCTTGTGTTAATGGGCCTAATCCTGTTTAATGTTTAAGTCATCTAGGTGTCCCATCACTAATCAGGGGCATCCCAGTAATTTCTTGTACCTTGTACTATATTCATCTATAAATAAAGAACTGGTCGACTGGCTAGT